CAGTGATCTTTGTGCTTGCCTTATGTTACCCAGAGAAGGTACTTTGGTGTTTCAGGCAATGGGCATGGCCATAGACCTCCCAAAAGTCTCTGTTCTTTTATTCAATTATGAGGCTGGGTAGAGGGGCAAAGCTAGGTGAGGGCTGGTTCAGGCAAGTCTGCACCCTGGTTGCCCATGTATGGGCACAAGCAGCCACCCTAATGAGGATTGGATGGCAGTTCCACAGCCACTAGGGTGATGCTTCAGTGAGGAGTACAGCTGCTTCTGCTGAACAGAAGAGTCCACATGGGGAGTGGGGAGTAGCAGGCAGTAGTAAGCCCCACCTAGCTCCCACGCATGTGGCAAGTCAGGCCTCACACCTGCAGTATTCCACCTGCAGCAACTACCTGAGTTTCAGGCAGCCTGCGCTCAGAACTCAAAATGAGACACAAGGCCTTCCTGAGGAAGACAAACCATGGCTTTCAGGCCATGTCCTTCCCATTTGTTCCGTGAAGCAGGGACACCCAGCTCCTGTGCCCAAGGCTTTAGCAAACTTTCTACTTGTGCCTCAGTTATGGACAAGGAGTTTCATCTTCAATCAGGATTATATCACAAATCTCAGGAGCTTCTCTTAACCAGTGACAGCCATGTGAGTTAGCTGGCTGACTTCTGCAAAGTCCTCTGTGCCATAGGATCAGGAATGGCTTTCTCCGTCCCTACTGATGACTGGGAGTGCATGCAAAGCATGTCCTGATGCTGCTTCTTCTCATGTACTCCCCATTGCTCAGTACGTCAGCTCCAGTGCTTGGTAGGGTTAAGGCCTTCCTCCGTGGCCTGGATTGCCATGTTCCCCAGTGGGAGTGCATACACCTGATGCAGTTCCTGCCACCCTCGTGCTGGAGACTCACGGTTTTCCACCTGGCTCATGGTGAAGGCTGCATCCACCACCTCTTTCAAAGGGTCTGTGGTTTCATTAAATTTTCCTGTTAAGTTCCTGTGTTGCTTCTTGGAAGAAAGTTCATAGCATGTCTCTGCACTATTTGGTCTTTCCAAGTGGGAGATGCACACTAACAAAACTTTCAGTCTACCGTCTTGAAAAACTACTAACAATGTAATTTTGTGTAAGAAAACCAATCAGTTAACAGCAAAACAGAAAAAAAGAATAGACCTTCCTACGCAAGAGGGTATTCTATGGCACTCTGCTCCTGGATTTAATTTGTACCATTGGCTGTTTGGGTCTCTAAGCTGCCAGCCTGGAAGCTCTCCAGCAGCTCTCCTTGGTCTCAAGTCCCCTAGGCCACACTGCAGATTTAGACTTGACAGGCTTCAAAATTAATCTGTATACACACACACACACACACACACACACACACACACACACACAAATATATGCACACATTCTATTGGTTCTACATCTATGAAGAATCCAGACTAACGCAGTCACTAAGAGTTGTGCATTTTTCAAAGAACATTAAATTTAGGAGATTTTTTGTAAGGACAAGACCACAGTATACTTTTGTACTTTTAGAAATGTTTTATTTATTAAAACTCATATCTAGAAGAAAAATCTTACAAGCCACTTTACCTCAAGAATTTCAAATTCAGCTGGCGTGGTGGCTCAAGCCTGTAATCCCAGCACTTTGGGAGGCCAAGACAGGTGGATCACGAGGTCAGGAGATCGAGACCATCCTGGCTAACACGGTGAAACCCCGTCTCTACTAAAAAATACAAAAAACTAGCCAGGCGAGGTGGCG